ACAGTCGAACGTTAACACTGTGTTGTTGGCTGTAAGTCAAGTGACAGTAGTTGGCTGTAAGTCAAGTGTACAAACCTGTTTGGCAGAAGCAAGTCAGAGCCCATGCCGACCACCACGCCGCTAAAACAGCGAACTTCACAGGAGCTCCAAACATGGTTCCACCGGACGTTTGTCCGTACTACACGCTTTTCCTACCCTTAAACACGCCCTGCGTCTTGATACCCGTATGGAGGTTTGCTTCGTTCCGTTGAATGACCCAAGGTTGGCCAACGCTCCGTTTCGCTGGGACGAATGTGGGATGACAGGCGTAGGTTTGTATTGTACGCTTGACTCCAAAACAAAGTTCTCAAATGGCATGTGATCACGTAGACACGTCCTATATCATTGTCCCCGGGGGGTTTGCTTGGGTGCGGGGGGTGACCTGTTAACCTTCAACTATAAGATAAAGGGTTACCGACGTTCCGCCTCCCCGGAAATACGTAAATGATAACGTCATCGTCACAACTAGGAGTGCATTGCGCATGTGTCTTTGCTTGTTTGTGACTACTCAGAAAGACAACGGAAACTTTAAACGAAGCGGAAATGACAAGTGAGCTTGTAAAACCGGCGTCGATGGATCCCAATAGAATCAAGTCAAAGCGAGCAGCCAGTGCTCTCCTGCATTTTGTTACAACCTCGCTAGGTGAAGTTATGGTAGTTGTGATTATTGTGTTCATATCAATGACCTCATCATCAGGAGTGCCAACTGCCATGGCCTTCTTTTCAATCATAGGGTAAGGGTAGCTTGGTATATAAACACTTACATTAGTAGACAGCATCTTGGTACATGTATATGGTTGAAAAATTGAATTATAGAACATAAAAATCTCTTCGATCCGTTATATCCAAATTCAAAATTTGTGACTACCAAACATGATCATTGAGAACTTTTTTTCATGATGAGTTCCACAAGAGATTATTATGAACAACTTGTTACGTACCTACATATATTGTGACGAAACAAAAGAAAACATGTCATATGTAGGATTAAATTAAAAATCAAAACTAAATAAAAAGCTTTAACTTGGAGAAGATTTAGTCAAAGGCCGCCATCAGCTAAGAAGGTAGTCACGGTAATCTGCCTGAGAATCAAAGGTTACAGACTTCGAAACAAATCTAATTCTTGTACATAAGATAATAAAAATAGGACTAAAACCCTGAGACAATATTTGTAAAGTACAGGGGGAACTTAATTACATAATTTCCAATTTCCAACTACTACTGTGTTGTTAAAATCGCCCTGATAGTTTTGGTTAGTGGCTGTAGTTTTAAACGGAACCAATACTACAAATACTATCATCAACCCAGCTTGCATCTGACCACGAGGACGAGGAATGTGCTGACCAGAGCGAACCCGCTCCAGGTGCGCCTGTCTGCTGCCGAGGTGGTGCAGGGCGGGACACGGGAGGTCTGGCATGTCTCCTGTAGACCGAAATACAACGGACTTGATAATGTAAAGTTGAACATATTATCGGACAGTACTTTTTGATTAAGAAAAGTTAAAGGTTTGAAAAATTAAGAAAACTAAATCATTTTCCAAACTTAACAAATTACAAAATTAAAGAAATACAAAATTAAGAAAAAATAAACATTACATACAAAAATTAACAAATTCAAAGATTAAAAAAATTAAAAGTAAAAAAAATTAAAATTAAAAAAATTGAAAAAAAACAGATTTGAAAATTTAAAAATTTCATAATTTAAACATTTTAAAATAAAAAATTACAAAATAACAAAAAATAGGAAATTAAAAGATTAAAAAATTAAAGAATTAAAAAAAATTAAAAAATTAATAAAAATAAAAAAAAAATTTAAAAATTTAAAAAATTAAAAAAACATTAAAATGAAACAAAATTTAGATTGGTAAATTTGACTTACCGCGTACTCTCCTATACAGGCGGCGTACTTCATGACATGTGCCACGTACGACTGCTCGTGCAGTCCCCGGAACAGGTGCGCCATGGGCCCGTCAGAAAGCACGGACACGTCCTCCCCGCCGTGACTCTCAAACTTCATAGGGACGGCTGACTGTTGGATGTACTCTTTGTCGGCTAGATGGGTAAGGGAATCCAGCAGGTTAGTCTTAGTCTACGTGAGATAAAATGGCGCGAGATTGACTTGCTGAAGTCAAACTTTGTCGGTTATTAATCGATGCCACAATGAAAAGACTCATGTGATTCCAAAAAAATCCTGGGTAAAGAATAAAACATAGATCAGATCTTGAGATGTTAAACAGTACAGAATGTGTCCAGATTAGGCTACGTCCTCCCAGCCAATCAGAGAGCGCTCCGCGCCATGACGTCATTTTGCCGCGGCTCAGGCCCAAGCCAAGTTTCCACTGGCTTCTCGTGAATCTGTGCATATTATGGGCTGTACTGCTGTCTGAAGACCAGTTCAAAGGTCAAAATACGTCATATCCGCGTAGCCAAAGCTCGAGGAGGACACATTGTCCGAGGTTTTGCTTACAAAAAACTCCCCAAAATCTTATATTCCAGCGGCGATACGCGCCAAGTAGGCAGGTAAGACATACATTTACACATTTTAGCCCTCATTTTACCGGCCTAACTTAGTATTTTCCCGGAATTTGTCGTAGTTTTGCACAATTTTCCGTGGCAGTTTATGTCGTAACTGATCGATAGCGCCATGTTGTTTACGTGTACAACAACGGGGAGAAAATTGTCGCGTTTTAGAAATTGAGATGTTTTGCGTCTCGGAGCTTCCTTCCGCCATGTTTTTAAATGTAGATTGGCACGGTAGCGGCTAGTTTTCCGTGGACGTAAATGCTTTTGTTAGAAAGACGCAACATTTCTAAACGCAATAAATAATTTTCCTGAATAGGTTACAGCCTCCTTCATCATTTCAAGTGATTTTCAGTCACTGTTGGTGGCTAATAAAAATTTGTCGTGTTTTTAAACTTTGGAAAATGCCATGACAGGAGTTCGTATAGCTGTATATAGCGGGGGTGGGGAGGGGGGCGTTCTTGTAGGAAGATTCGCGATTGACTCGTGTTGCACATGCGTGCCGATGCAAAATTTTTGTTTCAAATTATTCATATCCTTGACCTATGTCATAATTTCTCGACCCTTTTCAACGCATTTTAACCGAAATTTCCGCATAATGTGTTGTGGATAATTTGGGGGGGGGGGTGTATGTGAAGACTTACATGCACTGACATGCATATACAATGCATTGTACTGTTAAGTATATCATCAGATATTCATATTAACGTGTATCTGCATTCAGATTCAGTTTGTTATCATTGACATGACATACTAGTAAATGATCTTTGTGCTCTTTCCAAGAATGAAACATTTATACCTGCTAGTACCTTTGCAGAAGAATTCTGTTTGATGGTACAGCACTATGTGCAAAAATAAAATCTGATTTTACCTTACCTTTACTAGTTACAGTTGAAAAGGTGCAGGGTGCCCACAGCAAGGAATTACGGAGAAATTGCAGGATGTGCATTTGTCGACATGACATGGATGACTGCTGGGGAATTTGTGTAGGCAATATGTACCGGTAACACTTGTGTGGATTGGAAGATATTTCCTATATGACAACAGCTACAATTTTTTTATCAACTATGTTTCTTTACTGTAGTAATTTCCCTGTACAGTATGTATATTTTATGTACTAGTACTAGTATGTTGGTAGGTCTGGTTAGATACAACATAAAATGACAGGAGACTATGGTAAAATTACTAAAAAGGACACACTATCACAAATATAAATGCACTGAATGATATCAAATGATAAAATAGAGTAGTACAACAAAGAATGACCAGTTTTGTATCGTCACAATGTGTCGTATAGCAGAGAGCAGAGTGTGCAGCTATTTTTTGACAGTAATTAGTACTTGTTGGAATGTTCATGTATGTTGTAATTTTACTCTC